TCCCCAAGGCTCCCAAGGGTGCCCCAAGAGGGCCCCAAGAGGTGGCCAGGAGGTCCCAAGAGGTCCCTAAAAGGCCACCAGGATGCCACCAAGAGGCTCCCAAGAGACCCCCAAGAGGCCCCAAGAGGCCCCCCAGAGGCACCCAGGACGCTCCAGGAGACCTCGGCGAGAATGCCACAATTATGGATGTTACGCAGGTTTTGGCCACAATTTGGCCTCCTGGGAGGCCACTGATTAAGAAGACTTCAAGAGCGCCTGGGAGAGCCCAAGAAGGCCTCCAAGGTGGCTCAAGATATCCCAAGATGCCTCAAGATGGCTCCCACGATGCTCCAAGAGGTTCCAAGACCGCTCCAAGACGGCTCTAAGTGGCCCCGAAGAGGCCAAAATCCTTCCAAGGGAAAATCAATGTTTTAAGATGGCCCAAGAGAGCCCCAAGAGAGGTTCAAGAGAGCCAGCCCCAAGACAGCCCAAGAGCGCCCAAGAGCGCTCCAAGAGCGCCCTAAGAGCGCCCCAAGAGGCGACCTGTTGGGCTCCCGAGGGGCAACACTAATTAATGCTCCCCTCTTGTTTGGTCGATGTCCTCCAAGATGGCCCCAAGAGCGCTCCCGAGGCTCCCAAGTGCCTCCAAGAGGGCCCCAAGAGGCGCCCATGAGGCCCCCAACAGGCGCCCAAGAGGCCTCCAAGAGGCTCCCAAGAGACCCCCAGGAGGCCCCAAGAAGCGCTCCGAGGCACCCAAGACGCTCTAAGAGGCGTCCGGGACCGCCAAGAGGCCCCCAAGACGCTCCAAGAGGCCTCAACTGAGGGAACCTTCCTCTGTGTGCTGCCCACTTCCCTGATCGAGGCAATTCCTCTGGGCATCGTGCCTGGATGGGCTGGTGGGGTTACGCGAAGCGTCTAGAATTTCTTCACATCCGCCGCCCTCCGTCGAAGAAAACAAAAAATCCACGAATCGACCCCTCCGAAGGCGAAGACCTCCCTGGAACGCCCCACAACTTGCTTTCGCCGCTGTTTGTGCGCGCGCGCGCTCCATGCAACCGCCATCGACCCGCCCCCCTCGGCCGGCCGTCTCGCGCACGGCGCCCCTGGACGCGGACAAGCCCTTGCGAATCAGGTCCTCGGCCTGATGGCACTCTCGCTTGCGGGCAGGCACAGGCGCGGCAGGTGGGCGGGCAGACACGGAGGGCAAGGTAGGGCAAGGCAGGGAGGGCAAGAGGGCAGGCAGGTCATCGGCCGTGGTTGAGCGGCCATGCATGGCCTTGCAAAGACGGTCCAGGCGCCCCGACCAGAGTTGACCGTGCAGCGGCTTCGCTTGAAGGGCACCCTCTGCGTGCACGTCTTGGGGCACGCCAGGTGCGAGCCTCCTCGTTCGACGCTCCACAAGTTTCCAACCCCAAAGCTCCATGACGGCGACAAGGGAGCTACGAGGCTAGGGGATGCACAGCAACGGCGTCGAAGGCACCACAATTAGAGAAGTGGCTGGGTGACAGGAGCGGCAGATGCCGCCGGCGACTTCCACATACATCGGCGTCTCGGAGAGAGACGCGCGCAAACTTTTTTCCTGGCCAGAATCCGCTAAGACTCGCACCCTGGACCCCTCCTTGGAATCATCCTGAACAACTTTCCGAATCACGTCCAAACACCGCGGCTACGACTGGATTCCCTCCTCCTCCTCCTCCTCCTCCTCTCCTCCTCCTCCTCCTCCTCCTCCTCCTCCTCCTCCCCTCCTCCTCCTCCTCTTTCACCTCCTCCTCCGCCTCCACCCCCGCCTCCGCCTCCGCCTCCACCGCCTCCTCCTCCCCGATTGCTCCATTTCCCTGGAACTCCGACGTTCTGATGTTTCTTTCACGTGTGAGTCTGGAGTCCTAGGCCCCGTATCTCGAATAAATGTCGCGCCGTCAGCTGCTTCTGGCTCGCCCTGGGCCCCGACGCAGGCAACCCTGAGGACCTAATTCGGACACGTCGTCCCGTCTTGTTTCACTCAGCGCGCCAGCTGCGTGTTTGACCATTCAGGGTATAGCAACGGAAAATTCTGCTACCGAGGAACCCCACACACTTGGTTTAAATATTATGTGTTTGCTTTTCATGATCATCTACGCGGAAACCTGCGTTCTAAACCCTCGTCGCGAATGTTTCCCTATATTGTCATCCAACGCACTGCTGAGTGAATCTCCTCCCTCTCCCCCGCATTCTATCCTTCATCGGGGAAAGTTCGAGGTGGTCACCGGGGGCCGTTTCCTGGGATCGCAACAACCAACAAGGTGATGCAAAACGATTTGCCACAGCTCGAGTAGTCAGGGGGGCCATTTGGAAGTTGGTGCAAATCACACCCCCTCGCCTCATGCTGCGTTCTCCCGCACCCCTGCCTCCCCTTCTTTCCTCGGTCGGTCTACTCTTTCTAGTCTCATGCAGTTTCCACACGTCTGCCGCCGCGTCTCTTCGACGGAGAGTCTCTGAGGTGTGCGCGCAAAAGACTTGCATGGCGAACGTGATCCGCCTGCGCGCGACATGCGAATGTCCTTGGATGGAAAATCTCTGGGCCGCGGTTGCCACGACAACCGGAGCTGGGCGGGCGCTCCGAAATCGTCCACCAGCGGTCCGTCTGAGCCAGCTCAGGGGACAGCGGAATGCGAGGGGTGCCTGTGGAACGAACAGAGGTAGCAAGCAGAAGTGCTGGAGACCGCTGCGAAGTGAAAGCCTGCGCGGGCGTGGACTTCATGGGCGCGGGTTTCGTGGGCGTCGCTTGTATAGGCGCGCAGTGCGCTGTGAAGGAGACTCTGGGTCAGCGCCCGAACTGCCGGCCTCGTGCAGTCTGGGAACCTTCGCTGGCGGGAGCTCAGCGGTAGCCCAGGGCCGCTTTTCAAAACGCAATGCGATGTGTCATGGGGCTCGCAGCGCCGGAGCAACCGTGCGGAACGACGCGCTCGTTTGGATTGAAACATCCCGACGCCTCCAAGGCTTGCAGTGGATCAGGGCCTGCACCACGGCGTTGAGGTAGCACGTGTTCCCGAAGTTGGGCATGCACGCGGACGTCAGGTAGAGGTTCGACAGGTCGCGTGTAACGCCGGCAAAGAAATCTAATATTCTCTCCTTTGCGAAAGAGAACAAATCCGCGTGGGCGAGGCTCATGCGTCTGAAGTCCGTCCAAGCAGCGAACACCTGTGTGATGCGCTTGGCCCTGACCGGGTCGGGGCGCGGGTCCTCCTGGTCAGCTGCGCATAGAAACTTCACCGCCTCCAGCCGCTCTGCCAGGGCGGCCTGCCGCGCGCGGTGCGCGACGCCTTCCACGTCGCGCAAAGAATCGATGCCATGAGACTCCGCGGCGGCTCGAAATGTCCATCGCCAGGGGGCGGCGTCGCTCTTCCCCGTAGAACTTGGCGCCGGCCCCACCAAGCGTGTCAGGCTGCAAGGCGAACAAACGAAGGGTGGGCACATCCATTCTGTAGGATCCATCATGTGTAGAGTACTTGCTGAGCGCCTTCCACAGGTCTGCATCGTCGCCTCTCCTCGACGGCCGGATCTCTGGATTGGAGGCTCGCTTGGCTGCGAATTCCTTGTGCCAGTTGACCGCCTTCGCATCCGCTCGGGCGAAAAGGCTGTCCGGGAGAATCGACTCTCGCAGGTCGTGCGACCATGGTCCTCGCGACCAACGGCAGTCCGTCTCCGCCTGCTCCGGGGACAGCAAAATGCGAGGGGTGCCAATGGAACGAACCGAGGTAGCAAGCAGAACTGCTGGGGGCCGCTGAGGGGTGGAGGCCTGCACGGGCGTGGACTTCGCTGGCGTGGCCTGCGCAGGCGTGGCAGTGCCCCCGTCGCCGGCATCGCCGACTCGCCGAACTGTCGCCAACGGCGAGCCATCGCCATCCTCCGCCCCCCCAGTCTGATCAAGTGGGAACCCGCCGGACGAAGGGTTCAGCAGGTACCGCATCAAACACTGCCTCCTGCCATCGTCGTTGCCTCCTTCACTCAGCTCGTTGTACCTGATGAGATGAGTATGAGGCCACCAGTTGGCGAGTTGTCGATGATAAGCATTAAATGCGTCTCGAACCAGAAGATCTCCACGCGCGTCCTTGTAGCCGCGCAAGCTTGCCAGATTGACCTCAAGGCCCATCCCACTCAGTGCCTCCTTCAGCGCCAAACACGGAGGTGGCAGGGCGGCGATGCCAATGTTTGGCGGCATGAATGCCGCACACCGCAAAGGATCGCTTGCTGCTTTCAAATACGGAAGCAGGGCGCGTCTGGGTGGAAATCTAGGCGCGCTGAGGCGGCTTGAGCCAATGTGTTACATATCAGGACGCTCGAGGTTAAAAAGACATGTGTCCCATATGTCGATCTCTGGAAACTCCCCACCCCATGCGCCGCCCTCTGGCGTCGAGGAACTGTTACGCCTGACGCGCCCTGGAAGCCTGAAAGAGAGAGCGCCCCCAACTCCTGCCACACCCTGCGAGCGCATCACGGATAGAGGCCGCGCTGAGGGACCACCCTCTCCGCAACCCCTGCGGTGTCGAGAAAATGTCGCGCCTGCCACGCCCTGCGAGCGTGTCACGGATAGAGGCCGCACTGAGGGGCCACCCTCTGCGCACCCCCGTGTGGCGTCCAGAACGCGCCGCGCCTGCCACGCTCTGCGAGCGTGTCACGGATAGAGGCCGCGCTGAGGGACCACCCTCTGCGCACCCCCTGTGGTGTCGAGAAAGTGCCACTCCCGCCACGATCTGCGAGCGCGTCATGGATGGAGGCCGCGCTGAGGGACCTACCTCTGCGCACCCCCTGTGGTGTCCAGGAAATGCCGCGCCTGCCATGCCCTGCGAACGTGTCACGGATAGATGCCGCGCTGAGGGACCACCCCCTGCGCCTCCCCAGTGGCGTCGAGAAAATGCCGAGCCTGCCACGCTCTGCGAGCGTGTCACGGATAGAAGCCGCACTGAGGGACCATCCCCTGCGCCCCCCCAGTGGTGTCAAGAAAGTGCCGCGCCTGCCACGATCTGCGAGCGTGTCACGGATAGACGCCGCGCTGAGGGACCACCCTCTCCGCACCCCCTGTGGTGTCGAGAAAGTGCCGCGCCTGCCATGCCCTGCGAACGCGTCACGGATAGAGGCCGCGCTGAGGGACCACCCTCTCCGCACCCCCTGTGGTGTCGAGAACGCGCCGCGCCTGCCACGCTCTGCGGGCGTGTCACGGATAGAGGCCGCGCTGAGGGACCACCATCTGCGCACCCCCTGTGGTGTCGAGAAAGTGCCACTCCTGTCGCGATCTGCGAGCGTGTCACGGATAGAGGTCGCGCTGGGGGACCACCCTCTGCGCACCCCCTGTGGCGTCGAGAAAGTGCAGCGCCTGCCACGATCTGCGAGCGTGTCACGGATAGAGGCCGCGCTGGGGGACCACCCTCTGCGCACCCCCTGTGGTGTCGAGAAAGTGCCACTCCTGTCGCGATCTGCGAGCGTGTCACGGATAGAGGCCGCGCTGAGGGACCACCCTCTGCGCACCCCCTGTGGTGTCGAGAAAGTGCCACTCCTGCCCGATCTGCGAGCGTGTCACGGATAGAGGCCGCGCTACCGCCCCAGGCACCCCCTGTGGTGTCGAGAAAGTGCCACCCTGCCACGCTCTGCGAGCGGTCACGGATAATCCGCGCTGAGGGACCACCCTCTGCGCACCCCCTGTGGTGTCGAGAAAGTGCCACTCCTGCCACGATCTGCGAGCGTGTCACGGATAGAGGCCGCGCTGAGGGACCACCCTCTGCGCACCCCCTGTGGTGTCGAGAAAGTGCCACTCCTGCCACGATCTGCGAGCGTGTCACGGATAGAGGCCGCGCTGAGGGACCACCCTTTGCGCACCCCCTGTGGTGTCGAGAAAGTGCCACTCCTGCCACGATCTGCGAGCGTGTCACGATAGAGGCCGCGTTGAGGGACCACCCTCTGCGCACCCCCTGGGGTCGGAAAGTGCACTCCTGCCACGATCTGCGAGCGTGTCACGGAAAGAGCCCGCGCTGGGGGGGCCACCCTCTGCTCACCCCCTGTGGAGTCGAAAAGCGCCACTCCTGCCATGATCTGCGAGCGCGTCACGGCTAAGGCCGCGCAGGGGGACCACCCTTGCGCACCCCCTGTGGTGTCGAGAAAGTGCCACTCCTGCCACGATCTGCGAGCGTGTCACGGATAGAGGTCGCGCTGGGGGGCCACCCTCTGCGCACCCCCTGTGGTGTCGAGAAAAGTGCCACTCCTGCCACGATCTGCGAGCGTGTCACGGATAGCGGCCGCGCTGGGGGACCACCCTCTGCGCACACCCTGTGGTGTCGAGAAAGTGCCACTCCTGCCACGATCTGCGAGCGTGTCACGGATAGAGGCCGCGCTGAGGGACCACCCTCTGCGCACCCCCTGTGGTGTCGAGAAAGTGCCACTCCTGCCACGATCTGCGAGCGTGTCACGGATAGAGGCCGCGCTGGGGGACCACCCTTTGCGCACCCCCTGTGGTGTCGAGAAAGTGCCACTCCTGCCACGATCTGCGAGCGTGTCACGGATAGAGGCCGCGCTGGGGGACCACCCTCTGCGCACCCCCTGTGGAGTCGAGAAAATGCCACTCCTGCCACGATCTGCGAGCGTGTCACGGATAGAGGCCGCGCTGAGGGACCACCCTCTGCGCAACCCCTGTGGTGTCCGGATCGCCGGGGGGCGGGGAAGGGAGCGGAGAGATCGGGGTCGGTCGGGGTCGGGGGAGAGGGTGAGAAAGTGCCACTCCTGCCACGATCTGCGAGCGTGTCACGGATAGAGGCCGCGCTGGGGGACCACCCTCTGCGCACCCCCTGTGGTGTCGAGAAAGTGCCACTCCTGCCACGACCTGCGAGGGTGTCATGGATGGAGGCCGCGCTGAGGGACCGTGCTAAGCTGAGCTGAGCTGAGCTGAGCTGTGCTGAGCTGAGCTGAGCTGAGCTGTGCTGAGCAGTGCTGCGAGGAGGAGGGGAGGTGTGAGGTGAGACGCGGGTGCGACGCGGCAGGGAAGAAAACCAGAAGCCCACGAAGCATGTGGGGAATAACACCCTGCCTGCGACTACATGCCCTGGCCGAGCCACCCTTGTGTTCGAGAGGCTCCCGGGGCCGACCCAGATCGGAGCCGACGAAAGGGGCGAATAGCCGAAGGGCGGGCATCACACGCAATCGCCCAGGAGCCTCGCCGAAGGCATGGACCATCGGCGGCCCTGGATACGTGTGATTGCTCTCAGCTGGGCTGTTCGCCCCCATCGTCGCCCCCGACCAGAGGACGGAGGGGAGCTGGACCGCGCTCCCTGGCGCCGTGGCAGGCGGTGCGACCCTCCCGCCTGCCCCAGGGGGCGAGGAGGAGGAGGTCCGAGCAGGGCGAGCGCCGTGGGAGAGGGCGTCCGGCGGGGACGCCTCCTGGGCAGGCAGCGACGTCCCCATGCCACAAAAATCAGTGGGCCGGGGCTGGCCCTTCTCGTGGGGGAGGAGGTCGCCGCACGGGTCGCGTCACCTGGCCTGGAGACAGGCGACTGAGCCCTCGGTGGCACCCTCGCCATCGAACGGGAAGCCGGACGGGATGCGATAGTCGACCGAGCCCGGGAGGCAGCGCGCGGAGTGGCACGCGCAGGGCACGGCGTCGGAGCGCTACTTGGAGCACAGCAGGGGCTCGACCACGAGAAACGTTCCACAAAAAACCCAACCATGAAAACTCAGGACGTCCATTGATGTTTGGCGCGGGAACGTCACGCTTTCCAGTGCAAAACCATCGAATCCCCAGAAACCCAGGGCACACTGGAGGCAAGCAGGATTTCTTGGCATGGGTCTCCACTGTAGGTGGGACGAGACGCTCCAGGTGTGGGCCATCCTGGAGCAGTGCTTCTTGGACTTGAGGTGGGGGCCGCCGATGAACTGCCGGAAAGGCCCGCAGAACCACCCGAACTGGATCATCCACTACTTGCCCCTCTCCTTGGTGTCGTTGACGAGCTGCGCCGACCAGGAACGCCTAGACTTCGCGGCGAAGAGAGACCTCGTAACAGCTCGGGGGAGCCTGGGACAGGATCGCGGATGGTCACGGAGTACGGAACCCAGATCCCCGACGTCATGTTTTTTTCACGACGTCCCCCCCCAGATGTGTGGACCCCTTCGCAGGGACCCGAGTCGATTTTTGACGGTCCCGAGGTCCAGTAAGGGCCCCCGGAGCCCGAAAATTGTGAGAACCTCACGTCGTGATTTGTTCATTGCTCGAGAGGGTCTGAGGAAGTGCTGCCGCTGCATCCGGGCTGCAGGGGCGGATGTCATGGCACTTCCCCGCGGGGCTGTCGGCAGCAGCCTGCTCGATGGCGGCGCTGCCGATGGCCGGGTGCGGGTGCCCCCCGCCCCAGGGGTCCCGAGCGCGCCCCGGGCGCCTCGCTCCTGGAGCACGAAGCCCTTGAGAGGGGGATGCTCCACATGGCCTTGAGCCAGTGGCCACAGTCGCACACACACACACACACACACACACACACACACGCGTACACGCACACGCACACGCACACTCCACTCGCGCACACGCACACGCACACTCCACTCGCGCACACGCACACGCACAACACACACACACACACACATGCACACGCACACGCACACGCACACGCACACCCTCTCTCTCACATAAACAAAACAAACGCCCAACAAGAAAAGCATCAAAACAAGATGGTTGCCAGCATGGACGGCGCACGAGGCAGCCACGAGGCGGCCACGGGCGGCAACGCGGAAAACCTCACTGGACCCATCCAATGCCAGTGCGACATAAGCAAGAACCCTAATAAGTGCAAGCGCCCAAGCCGTTTGGGGAACCAAGACAGAGCAACAAAAAAAACGAGCGGACAAGCGCGTGCCCTTGCACAACATGCAACGCACGAAGAGCGGCTCCGCGTCGGAACGACCACCCGAAGTGTCTCCCGAGAGGCACGCGGCAGGGAGGAGCCCCCCCCCCCCCACACGCGAGGGGCGCGCCGTGGCGAGACGCTGCTGCAGCCTGGCGTACTTCTCCTCGAGCTCCCGGAGCTCGCTGGCGTCCTGGCCGCCCGCGATACACCATGAAAATATGTCGCCGCGCCGTTTGTTCCCGACGCGCCCGAATGGACGACGCCGACACCACCGCCAACCCACGGCAAGCCCTGCGCCCAGCGCCCAAGTGGACGAGGCCGGCACCGCGGCGAACCCACGGCACAGCCACCACGCCCGAGGCGGCGGTTGCCCTGGTGGCCGAGACGCCCCTCCCAAAAACGGAAGCGCGCGTGTCTGAATAAACGGCTCGGCGACATATATAATACATACATACATACATACATACATACATGCATGCATGCATGCATACATACATTCATACATACGTACGTACATACATACATACATGCATAAGTGCATTCATTCCTTCGTACACACAACATTACATTGCCTTACATTACATTACATTACATTACATTACATTACATTACATTACATTACATTACATTACATTACAATACATTACATTACACTACAATACATGATATTACATTAGGTTACATTACACTACACTGCATTCCACTACATTGCACTACACTGCATTACATTACCGTGCAATACATTACATTACATTACATTACATTACATTACATTACATTACATTACATTACATTACATTACCTTACCTTACCTTACCTTACATTACATTACATTACATTACATTACAATGCATTACGACGCATTACACTACATTACATTACATTACAACGCATCACATTACATTCCATTGCATGACAATACACTACATTACATTACACTACATTACATTACATTGCGTTGCATTTCATTTCATTTCATTACATTACAATACATTGTATTACATACATGCATGCATGAATACACATATACATACATACATGCATGCATGCATACATACATACATACATGCATAAATTTTACGTACGTACGTACATACATACACATACATGCATACAGACACACCTATAGTTGTGTACATATACATAGGTGCTAGAGCCTTCGCGCGCGCTTCGCGCACTTCTAGGTTCTAGCTGGTCGAGTGCTGACCGCATTTAGACAACAAGGCGGTCATGAATAATGAGGTCAACATGTTCTCTTTCCTCCTGCCTCTTCCTCATTCCTCCTCCTCCGCTCTCATCGACCAGTCGACTGGTGGTTTGTCACCAAGCTTTTTGCGGACCTCTTGACCCCTTCTGGGGGTCTCCTGGGGCGAAGATCTCGGGTTCTCGGTTCACGTTCCTGATCGAAGACGTCTACGGCGAATCACCGCCGCCCCCTGCCTTTGTGGAAGCTCCTATGTGGCCGAACGTTGAGGCCAGACCTGCCAAGCTATCGGACCATGTGTTCCCCGAATCAGTTTGGAAAGCCTTCAGGGAACACGTGGGCATCTTGAAGGTCATCTTGGCCGTCTGGAGGCCATTTTGACCCTTTCGGGCCTGCTTGGCGGACGTCTTGGAGGGCTCGTGGGCCGTCTTGGAGGCCATCTTGAGCGTCTTGGAGGCCTCTTGGGCCGTCTTGGGTGCCTCTTGGGGCCGTCTTGGGCGCCTCTTGGGCGTTCTGGAGCCATCTTGGAGGCCTCTTGGGCGATCCTTGGGCGATCTTTGGGAGCTCTTGGGCAGTATCGGGCCGTCGGAAGGCCGAAACGAAGCAAAATCCTTCACAAACCTTCCGAAAATCACTCTTTTTCTTTTCTGGCCTTCCTGGAAGCCTCTTGGGCCGTCTTGGGCCAGCTGCGAGCCACCTTCGGCCATCTTGGTGGGCTCCTGGCCCGTCTGACGCCGTCGGAAGCCGTTTCGGGGGCCTTTCTGGACCGACTTGGCGCCCTCTTGGGGTGCTCCAGGGCCGTCTTAGAGGCCATCTTGGGCGTCTTCGAGGCCTCTTGGACCGTCTTGGCGCCCTTTTGGGGCCGTCTTGGGAGCCTCTTGGGCCGTCATGGGGCCATCTTGGAGGCCTCTTGGGCGATCATGGGGCGACCTTGGGGGCCCCTGGGGCCGTCACGGGCCGTCGGAAAGCCGAACAGGCGCAAATGCCAAAATCCTTCAAAAACCTTAGGAAAATAAAGGATTGGCCTCGTCGGGCCTTCCTGGAGGAACTCTTGGAGGCCTCTTGGGCCGTCTTGGAGGCCTCTTGCGGGCCTCTTGGGCCGTCTTAGACCATATTGAGGCCATCTTGGGCCGTCTTGGATGCATCTTGGGGCCATCTTAGCCGTCTTGGAGGCTATCTTGGCTGTCCTGGAGGCATCTTGCAGGCCATCTTGGGCCATCTTTGCTATTAACCTAACAGCGAAGACTGATAGGTTTCTAGTAGGGTCAAAAGAGAACATCATGACTCCCCAGGGGGGTCCGGGCAGGATCCGGGGGGATGCCGGGGAACTCGTTTTAAGCAAACAGTAACGCACTTCGTGGTCTTCGAGTTCCCAGAACTCCATTCCTGGCCATGATTTTGAATGCCCGGAGCCAACTGTAGGCCACTTCGTGTTCTTCGTGTTCCCAGAACTCCATTCCCGGGCCACATTTTGAATGCCCGGAGCCAACTGTAGGCCACTTCGTGTTCTTCGTGTTCCCAGAACACCATTTCCTGGCCACATTTTGAATGCCCAGAGCCAACTGTAGGCCACTTCGTGTTCTTCGTATTCCCAGAACACCATTCCCTGGCCACATTTTGAATGCCCGGAGCCAACTGTAGGCCACTTCGTGTTCCTCGTGTTCCCAGAACACCATTCCCAGGCTACATTTTGATTGCCTGGAGCCAACTGTGAGGCTGAGGCTGAGGCAGGCTGAGGCTGAGGCAGCCTGAGACTGAGCCTGAGGCAGGCTGAGGCTGAGGCTGAGGCTGATGCAGGCTGAGGCTGAGAGGCTGACGCTGAGGCTGAGGCAGGCTGAGGCTGAGGCTGAGGCTGAGGCCGAGGCAGGCTGAGGCTGAGGCTGAGGCAAGCCGAGGCAGGCTGAGGCTGAGGCTGAAGCTGAGGCAGGCTGAGGCTGAGGCTGAGGCTGTAGCTGAGGCTGAGGCAAGCTGCGGCTGAAGGCTGAGGCTGAGGCTGAGGCTGAGGCTGAGGCTGAGGCTGAGGCTGAGGCTGAGGCTGAGGCTGAGGCTGAGGCTGCAGGCTGAGGCTGAGGCAGGCAGGCTGAGGCAGGCTGAGGCTGAGGCTGAGGCTGAGGCTGAGGCTGAGGCTGAGGCAGGCTGAGCTGCTGAGGCTGAGGCTGATGCAGGCTGAGGCTGAGGCAGGCTGAGGCTGAGGCCGAGGCTGAAGGCAGACTGAGGCTGAGGCTGAAGCAGGCTGAGGCTGAGGCTGAGGCAGGCTGAGGCTGAGGCTGAGGCAGGCTGAGGCTGAGGCTGAGGCAGGCTGATGCAGAGGCAGGCTGAGGCTGAGGCTGAGGCTGAGGCAGGCTGAGGCTGAGGCTGAGGCTGATGAGGCTGAGGCAGGCTGAAGGCTGAGGCTGAGGCTGAAGCAGGCTGAGGCTGAGGCTGAGGCTGAGGCAGGCTGAGGCTGAGGCTGCTGAGGCAGCTGCGGCTGAGGCTGAGGCTGAGGCTGCAGGCTGAGGCTGCAGGCTGAGGCTGAGGCAGGCTGAGGCTGAGGCTGAGGCCGAGGCAGGCTGAGCTGAGGCCGAGGCAAGCCGAGGCAGGCTGAGGCTGCGACTGCGAGAACAGCAGAATTCTACAACTGGATTCTCACCTAAATCTTAAGGGGAATGCTTCCAGATATGCTTCTACATATCGCTGTTAGGTTGCTTTGCCGGGATAATTTTTGAGGATGGCGATGACGGAGCGATTTTCCGGGTGGCCGGCGGGACGCGCCGGAGCCCCAGGGGGAGTTCTTTGGGGAAACAACCAAAGCCAAAACCGACAAGGTCCAGCACGCCAGCCACCCCTGCGATGAATCGACAGGGGGCGGCGGATAGTGGCCTTCGGCCCATCCCGCCACCGTGCCTGGGTTGTGGGTTAGAGGCCTCTTGGAAGTTCCTTTGGAATTCGTGGGAGGCTTCCCGGGGCCTCTTGAAAGCATTCTTGGAAGCCTCTTGGGAGCCGTTTGGGGTGCTCGTGGGGCGTCTTTTTGGGCCCCTTTGGGGCCTCGTGGGGCCTGGAAGGGCCTTTAGGGGGCCTCTTGGACTCTGTTGGGGGCCTCTTGGGGCCTCCTGGAGGCCTCTTGGGGCGGAAGGCTCGAATTGTCGGTTCGTGTTGCCCCTCTGGGGCCCCTCTTGGGGCCCTCTTGGGCGATCTTGGGCGCCTCTTGGGCCGTCTTGGGGCACTTTTTGGCCGTCTTGAGCCTCTCTTGCGCCGTCGCGGCGCCCAAAGACTCTTGGGCCGTCTCGAGCAGATTCTGGGGCCTCGTGGGCTGTCTTGGACCGTCGGAAGCACGAAACAGCGAGAGCACGGAAAACCTTCAAAAACCCTCGAACAAAACACCGACTTGTTTCGCCTCCTGAGTGCCTCGTGGGAGTCCTTTTGAGGGCATCTTGGCCGTCTTGAAGCCCTCTTGGGCTGTCTTCAAGCCATGTTGGACCAATTTTGAAACGCTCCTGTACGGTCTTGGGCTCTCTTGGAGCGCTCTTGGGCCATCTTGGCGCCCTCTTGGACGTCTCTCGGCCCCCTTTTGACGTGTTATGGCGTCCCCCACCAGGCCCGAAGACAAATCAGTTCACCTTGGGGGGCCCGGGACCCCCTCCCCATTTATACATACATACATGCATGCATGCATACATACATACATACATACATACATATATACAGACAGACAGACAGACAGACAGACAGACAGACAGACAGACAGACAGACAGACAGAGAGACAGACAGACAGACAGACAGACAGACAGACAGACAGACAGACAGACAGACAGACAGACAGACAGACAGACAGATAGATAGACAGACGTACATACGTACAGACGTACATACGTACATACGTACATACGTACATACGTACATACATGCATACATGCATACACAGATACATGCATACATACCAGTACGGGGAGGGCGGCGATGACTGGGCGATCGGGGGTCGAGGGAACGCTCGTATGGACTGCGGCGCGTGGATGAGCGACGGGTCCCGCTTCCATGCGATATCGGCGCGCGCTGTCGCCGAATGACGCGACTCTGGCCTCGTGTGTCGGGGGTGCCTTCCCCGACCCGTGGATCTGGCGAACCCATGCTTCGGGGAACAAGCAATGACAGAAACATGAACTTTCGGAGGTCCGCGCGGATTTCTTGAATCGGCGCTGGACGCCCCCCCTGCCTGGCGCACGGAGCGCGCCGGGGGCGGCGCTGCAGGCGCCGCCAGGGGGCTCCAGCGCCGATCCCAGAAAGTCGCGGGGACCTCCGAAAGTGTATGCTTATGTCGTTGCTTGTTCCCCGACTGTTCACGGGAGCTGCAAGCTGGTGAAGTTCTCCCGGCGCGACGGCTGACGCTCGCAGCGCGGCCGCGGGCGTTGCCGCTGCGGGGGGGCAGGCGGCGGCGCAGGGACACGCCAGCCGCGGGCGGCGGAGCGGCCGAGCGACGCTCGTCCTGGTGATCCTAACTTCCCTTGCTCCCCCGCCTCCACGAACCCCTAACCCAGGCGGCAATGAATGGGCGATCGCCGCCGACGACGACAATAACGACGAAGACGACCACGACGACGACGACGACGACGACGACGACGAAGACGACGACGACGACACCGACGACGACGACGACGACGGCTAAAACGACGACGGTGATACCGACGACGACGACGACGACGACGACAACGGCTAGAACGACGACGGCGACAACGACTAATACGACGACGGCGACGACGACGACGACGACGACGACGACGGCGACGACGACGACGGCGACGCCTACGCACAGGCCTACGCACACGAGGACCACGACCAGACCAGAAACGCGACGACCGCAACGATCACGATAACCACGACCACGGCGACGACCACGGCCACGAACGACCACGACCACGAAGAAGTAGCAACAGCAACAGGAGGGAGGGAAGGGTATTTATCTGGTCAAGGAGCTACTGGGCGTCAAGGGGAGGGAACTCATGGGCAGCCACCTCGAGGCGCGGGCGCCGTGGATCTCGAGCAATGAGGCATTATTCGCACCGTCCGCCGCGCCGAAGATCCGCACGGTGAGTGGGATCCCGTCGGGCGCCGGCGGCCCCTCGTCCTTGAAGGTTGCGGCTGCAGAGCGGGGTCGCTGGGTCACCACCGCCACCCGAGGCGCCGCTGGCTGCGCCGCACCCTCCCCGCCACGACGCTTCCCACCGCCACGACGCCGGGGACGAGGACGATGCAAGCTGGCTTCAGGGGCCATGTCCACGTCGGGCCGATGGCTTCTGGCGAAGGACGTGGGCCGCGCGAGCCCGTGCATCAGCCGATAAAGATGGAGATGGGCGGCGGCCGCGCCTTTGGAGCAGTTGCTCGTTGTGGAGGTGGGGCTCGACGAGCCCATGTATAGGTAGCCTCTGAGAAAGCAAACGTGCTAGGAGCTGGCATCGGATCAGAGGCACAATCAAAACTGATAGTAAGGATGCGTGGTAAGAATGCACGGGCCTTGGGCGCCCATGTCGAAGCTTTTCGATCTGGGTTGGCTGTCCAAAGTGGTTCAAGATAGACCGAAGAGGCAAGAATGCAAGGGCACCCTGGGGAAGGTTGCCCTTCCTTACCATCTGTTTGGACTGTATCCACACTTCCTCGTAACCGAAACCCAACCTGAGCCAGAACGGACCGAGGCAAACTTGCGCAGCCCTCCCGCGACGCCGACGGCGGCGACGATTGCGACGACGACGGGGACCACGGCGACGACGGCGACCGCGACAGCGACCGCGGCGGCGACGACGACGGCGACAAGGACGAAGGTGACCGCGACATCGACGCCGACCGTAACGGCGGCGGCGGCGGCAGCGACGGCGACGGCGACGGCGACTGCAGCGGCGACGGCGACGGCGACGGCGACGGCGACGGCGGCGGCGGCGGCGGCGGCGGCGGCGACGACGACGACGACGACGACGACGACGACGACGACGACGACGACGACGACGACGACGACGACGACGACGACGACGACGACGACGACGACGGCAACCGCGACGTCGACGCCGACCGCCACGGCGGCGGTCGTCGACAGGCAACGACTGGCGACGCTGGGCGGCGCGCTCCTGAGCCTCGTGCTGGCCCGGCCCAACGTAGCCGGGGTCGCGTCCGCCGGCAGCCGTGCGCGCCAGCTCCCTGCGGTGGGCCCGCCCCGCCTCTCCGCCCCTGGCTTATGTTGCCCCCATCGTTGTCAGGGGACACACCGCAGAAATAATTCCAGGCGCCCAGAAAAGTATCGAAGCAGGTCAACCCGACTCGCTGTCGAAGGAGTATCGCCTCTTGGGGCCCGACACGTGAAAACCCTTCAGTTTCGGCATGCTCCTGGTGCTCGAAGTTCTGGTGATCAATACTAAAATAGGTTGAAACACCGCACCGAAGGAGGGCGTTTTACGGGTGTTTGCCTTGGGAACATTCGGAGGCGCGTTTGGCCCCGGGGGGGACCCCCCCCCTCGAGCATTCGGCGCCGTCAAACAGAACCAGCTTGACTCCCCTCCCCCCTCCCTTCCTCCTCGAGCCCCCTCCCCGGCGCTGGCCCATTAGCACCACCGACCCGCCGATGGCGGGCGGCCCCCATGCATCCCTGGTTCTACCTGCGCCAGGTGGCACAGGTTACCCCACGTCACCGCGCGGGGCACACGGCGCGTGTTACCGCACATGGGTAACCTGGCCCGCCCCCACAGGCCCCCCTTCCCAAGGGGGGCCAGGCGGTACACGTCTTGATCCGTACTCTCCATGAGAGTCGACCCCTCTGGCCACACCCGACACCCCGACGTCAGGGGCGGGCCCCAACAGTGGCCAGAGCCAGCCCCCGCATGGGCTGGCACCACGCAGGCCGACGCAGACTGGGGAAGCAGTCCGCGCCAGCCATCGGGGGGTGGTTTCACACGCGGCCCCGGAACGTCGGGTCCCCAAGGGACCTGGGACGGCAGACCGACTCCACGCGGGGACCACCCGGCAGAGTCGGGGGGCCGCCCTAGGCCCGCCAGGGCACCAACGCCCCTGGCCCGCCGTGCCGCCCCTGCGCAGGCGACGTTTTGGCGGATTTCAATTCCCCCAGGAACCCCGACGTGCCGCTCACACGCCGAGGTGTCCTCCTGGGGGCTCCTCCTCCTCCTCCTCCTCCTCCTCCTCCTCCTCCTTCTCCTCCCTACTCCTCCTCCTCCTCCTCCTCCTCCTCCTCCTCCTCCTCCTCCTCCTCCTCCTCCTCCCTCCTCCTCCTCCTCCTCCTCCTCCTCCTCCTCCTCCTCCTCCTCCTCCTCCTCCTCCTGCTCCTGCTCCTCCTGCTCCTGCTCCTGCTCTCCTCCTCTCCTCCTCCTCCTCCTCCTCCTCCTCCTCCTCCTCCTCCTCCTCCTCCTCCTCCTCCTCCTCCTCCTCCTGCCCTCCCCCCATGCACGCCGTCCCCCCTTCGGGCCGTTGGTACGCCCCGCGACGACGAGGACGAGGGGGGGGAGAACGACGAATGAGGGAGGCGGGAACAGGAATACGACGAGGGTTTGGTGTTTTTAGGGTTTGGTGTGTGGTGTTTGGAGTTTGGTATTTGGAGTTTGGAGTTTGGGGTTTGGTGTTTTGTATTTGGTGTTTGGTGTTTGGCGTTGCGTGTTCGGGGGTTGGGGTTTGGGGGTTGGTGTTTGGGGTTTGGTGTTTGGTGCTTGGTGCTTGGCGTTGCGTGTTTGGGGCTTGGTGCTTGGGGTTTGGTATTTGGGGTTTGGTGTTTGGGGTTTGGTGTTTGGTGTCTGATGTTTGGGGGTTGGTGTTTGGAGTTTGGGGTTTGGTGTTGGGTGTTTGGTGTTTGGGGTTTGGTGTTTGGGGTTTGGTGTTTGGGGCTTGGTGTTTGATGTTTGGAATTTGTGATTTGTTTTTTGGGGGGTGATGTTTGGTGGTGTTTGGTGTTTTGTGTGTGTGGCGTTTTGGCGGTTGACGGCTCCAACCTGGGTCAAGTCCAACTTTGCCGGGGTATGGCCCGTCCAACCGGGGTAAAACTCGTCCAACCGGGTATCGAATTCGGCTGGGTTCGAATCCCCCCCCTTGAGTCGTCGTTCTCGTCGACGTTCCCCGCCGCCGCAGACAGCCGCCGCCGGCGCCAGCGCCGGCCCGGGAGGGGGAGGGGGCCCGCCGCTGGCGCCGGCAGAGGCCCGGGGGGGGGGGGGAGGGAGGGAATAAGACCGATCACAACCACTTCGGACTGTTCAGGAACTACATCGGTCGGATTGCAACCAGTGGAAGCGGACTGATCGCAACCTAAAGGATTCCTATACAAACCTGTCGGGAGAACACCGGATTGCAACCGATCCAAGAGCTCCTGTTGAGGCCTCTGGAAGGCTTCTCTGAGGCCTCTGAAAGGCTTCTCTGAGGCCTCTGCGAGGCTTGTGGGAGGCTTCTGAGAGGCTTGCGGGAGGCTTCTGAGATGCTTGTGGGGGGCTTCTGAGAGGCTTGTGGGAGGCTTCTGAGAGGCTTCTGAGATACTGTGGGAAGCTTCTGAGAGGCTTCTGAGAGGCTTCTGCGAGGCTTCTGAGAGGCTTCTGAGAAGCTTCTGAGAGGCTTCTGAGAGGCTTCTGCAAAGCTTCTGAGAGGCTTCTGAGAGGCTTTGGAGAGGCTTCTGAGAGGCTTCTGAAAGGCTTCTGAGAGGCTCCTGCGATGCTTCTGAGAGGCTTCTGAGAAGCTTCTGAAAGGCTTCTGGGAGGCCTGCCCCGCAGGCCCCACAGGTCCCACAGGTCCTGCGTGTCGCACGGGCGCCAAAGGTCTCGCAGGCCGCGCAGGGCGCACACGTCCCCCAGCCATGGTTCCCACAACCACCACAGGCCCAGACCGCCTGGAGTCGTGACAACATCTGTTGTTGTTTCGGGCTCGGGGGGCCATCGCCGGGCCCAGGGGCCGTCCAAAAGTAACTCAGTATGCAATGCTGGTCTACTGTAGGTTCATGCGGCGTTGGCGCGCCGGCGACGTTGGCGAAGGCGTTTAAGGCTGCATTTTGCGACGCGGAAGCACCGAGGGACACGTTGGGCCCACTGTATTCGACGAAATTCAACATTGAACGATCGGGACCGCGATCGATTCAAGGTTGAACGATCCACGCGGTGCCAAAAGCCTTGCGGGTGTCGACGCCGCACGAACCTACCGTAGGGGAATTCGTCCAGAGCTTTGGGGGTCGACGTCCTGGAAAAGTCATGACGTTGGGGGTTTGGGCTGCCGCGTCTACTCGCCTTGCCACCCTGTCCTCTTCCGTTTGCCCCCCTCCTCCTCTTCCTCCTCCTCCTACTCCTGCTCCTCCTGCTCCTGTCCTTCCTCCCTCCCCTCCTCCTTCTCCCTTTCTCCTCCCCCCCTCCTCCTCCTCCTCCTCCTCCTCTCCTCCTCCTCCTCCTCCTCCTCCTCCTCCTCCTCCTCCTCCTCCTCCTCCTCCTCCTCCTCCTCCCTCCTCCTCCTCCTCCTCCTCCTCCTCCTCCTCCTCCTCCTCCTCCTCCTCCTCCTCCTCCTCCTCCTCCTCCTCCTCCTCCTCCTCCCTCTCCTCCTCCTCCTCCTCCTCCTCCTCCTCCTCCTCCTCCCTCCTCCTCCTTCTCCTCCTCACCCTCTCCTTCTCCTCCTCCTCCTCCTCCTCCTCCTCCTCCTCCTCCTCCTCCTCATCCTCCTCCTCCTCCTCCTCCTCCTCCTCCTCCTCCTCCTCCTCCTCCTCCTGCTCCTCCTCCTTCCCCTCCTGAGATGCGATTTGTTTCACGCCACGCGTTTTCGCTCAGTTTCAATTTCAACCGTATACGGATCACACAGGAATCGTATACGGATCATGGCCACGTTCGAGCTCCAATACATGTGTTTAGCTGAGATCATGATCGGCCGTCTGTGATCGGACCGATCGCAACCGCTTTTTCAGATTCCCATTGGGCGGCTTAAGAGAACTCATTGAACCCAGAAGCGCTCTTATCATCTCTTCCTTAATCAAACCCTTGTTAAAACGACCCAATAACATCGCAACCACTTCGGACCGATCGCAACTGGTTGCGATCGGTCCGAAGTGGTTTACGATCGGTCCGAAGTGGTTGCGATCCGTCGTGCTCGCGGGGGAGGGAGGGGTTCGAACCCCACCCCCCTCTTGAACCAAAGGGGGGGGGGGGGAGCCCAGTTCCGGACCCCCCCCCCGCAAGCGCCCACAGAGCGCGCTCTTTCAAACATCATAACACCTGGCCCCCTCCCGACGAGAGCGAGGCCTGCGGCTCCACGAGCGACGATCGTGTCCATGTCCATGCCATGGCGATACGTCGGGTACATATTGCCAAAAGGGGGCCCGTGGCCCAGAGATGTCCCCAGGATTTCCCAGGAGGCCCCAAATGGCCTCCCCAGAGCACATCGAGCGAGGCCCAAGAGGGTCCCAGGGGCTCCAGGTTGGCGCGAAAAGCAAGGCGCGCCTTTGGCCAGGGACTTTTCTGACATCTCCCGAATCTGAACCCGGGGCGTGATCCCATAGGTGCGCCATCCCACGGATACATTCAGTGCAAGGCATCCGCGCAAGGCCGCCCCTTATCCATGGGGTTGCCGTCGGGAGGTCCGGATCGCTGGGCCGTGGATGTGGACATGCTTCCCCGCCCATGGGTTGCACCTCGGAACGAGGAAAGAGAGCGAGAGGCAACGACGACGAGCGAAGAGTTGAACGGTTGCTCTGCTACGTAGAAGCTTAGAAACACGCTCTCCGTGACCCCGAGCCAGCCGCGTCTCTCCAGTCTTGCTCTCCACGATCGCCTGTATCGTGAGCCCAACGCCAACGGTCATGGAATCGAGTCAGGTCACCGCGCCGATTACGACGCCAGACATAGAGTGTGAGAGCACAGCAGAGCACCGCGCACGCAAGGCTTCTTGAGCCACCCCTTTGGGCAAGAGCTTTCCGGCGCCCCCTCCTGGCGGCCAAGCCTCTGCAAGTGAAACGTGGAGAGAGCCGGGGGGGGCGTTCCGTGTGGAGCCCCGGCGGCAGCTCCGAGCTGCCGCCGGGGCTCCTGCCGCAGCAAGGTACGGGGTGTGCTCGCGTGTGGGCATGCCGCGGGCACTGCGGTTGAAGCTGCCGCCAGAGCGTGCCAGTCGCCGCAGCAGGCGGGGAAGCGCGCTGCCCTCCCTCGGAGAGAGGTCGGCCACTTGTCGTGGGCGGCTGGGACGAGGCGGCGCTGCGAGCGGCACAAAACGCACGGCCTCCAAGAGTCCCCGCCCGAGCCGCCCCCCGCTCCGCTCAGGCGTCGCGCCCTGTGCCGCTCAGAAGCTCTAGAAACTGAAGGTTTTCTCAAACGCAGAGAAGCAGCCTCCTGCCCCCTGGGGAGGACGAAGACGAAGTGAGGGGGGAAGGGGAGGAGGGAGGAGCGAGGCAGGTAGTGGAGGGAGGGAGAAGGAGGGAGGGAGGGAGGGAGGGAGGGGAGGAGGAGCGATCTCCAAACGACCCTTTTTGACCGCATTGGGCTTTTTAGGCGTCTGGGAGTCCTCCTTTTGGCCTCGAGGCGCCTCCAGATGCCTCCGGGGACCGCGACCTGTTCCAGAAGGCTCTCTAAGCGAAACGCTCTGAGCGTTCTGAACGCTCTGGAATGAGCCATCTTCGCCCTGGGCCTAACTGACCCTTGCATCTGTGAGCCCCCCACCCACCCCCCAGCACCCTCGCGCCTCCCATCCCTCGTCCACTGCTTCCCTCGCACCACCCCTTCCCTCGCCCTCTCCCCTCGCCCCTCGCCCGTCCTCGCCCTTCCTTGCCCCTCTTCGCTCTTCGCCCATCGCCCCGCCTCGCCACTCCTCGCCCCCTCCTCTTCCTCTCCGCCCCTCCGACCCGTCCGAGAGCTCCCCCGCGCCCCCCTCCTCTCGATGCGCTGCACCCGGTGCGAGATCTCGTCCGGGACCTCGGCCTTCCACGCGGTACCCGCGAGGCCGCCTGGTGACGTGGCGAGAAGGAGGAGGAGGAGGAGGAGGAGGAGGAGGAGCAGGAGGAGGAGGAGGAGGACTCAAGGCAGGATGAGGACCAGTTCAAACCCAAGACGCATCACCGATGTTGCAATGAACCCTTCCTCGAAGTTCCCTCCACACAGGTCCATGCAAGCATGTGAACTCATTTGCGGTAAGTGCTCCATTGAAAAACGACCGTCTGAGAATCCTCAATCGTGCCAAACACGGTTCCTGGGACTTCAACGCCGCGAATCAAGGTGACTGTTGCGCCCAGACAACCCTAGGTGATGCCGAGACATACTTCCTGGGACTTCAACACTACCACTCAAAACGATTGTTGCGCCCGCCCTGAAAATCCCCAAATGTCCCAGAACACCCTTCCTGGGACTTCAGCCCTACGGACCAAGGAAAGTGCTCCAAACGTTGAAAAACGGTGCGCGCTAAGGCGAGAGCCACATTTTGAAACAAAAACCAGCAACCAAGAACTGCAGTATGGAAACTGCTGCAAACATTTCAGAAGTCTCAATCAAGCTAAACGCCCGGCCCACCCCGCCGACCCGTCTGGGAGTGCGACAGAGACAAGTGATTGATAAAGAGAGTAGACGGAGGCGGAGGAGGGAAGCAGGATGGCCAGGGAAGGGAGGAGGATCTGAAGAAGGAAGAGGAGGCGGGGGAAGAGGACGAGGACCAGGGGGGGAGGAAGAGAAGGAGGAGGAGGAGGAGGACGACGACAACGACGACGACGAGGACGAGGAGGAGCAAGAAGAAGAAGACCAGGAGGAGCGACACTCGCCAGGCTCTCCCAAAGCATCATACACTGAATATGACAACCTGTAGTTGGGCTGAGCATGAGAAACCACACACTGAAAATGGCAAAACAAATCTTTGTGAACACTTGCTCGTTCGAACGCGCACGCGGTGAACAGCAGCAGCAACAGCAGGAGGAGGAGGAGCAGGCGGCAGCGGAAAGGAGGAAACAGCAGAAGGGAAACGGGAGACATGCACAACTATCCGGCCGAGCCTGGAGCACAGACGGCTAAGGTAGCCTCGGCCACGGCTGCTAACTTGGCGTCCGGCGTCCAGACTGTTCAGCATCACGCGCACATCGACGATAAAAGCCTGAATGTCGTTGTCGATGAACGGGTCGTCACGCTCCGGGACGGCGTCCCATACCAAAGCCTCTAGCGCCAGCTCCGTTCTGGCATCTGGCGGCACCCCCACGTTGATTGGCTTCTTCTTCGTATTCGTCTTCTTCTTCTGCTTATTGTTCTTCGTCGTGCAAGCGGCCTCAGCCGGCAGCGGAAATGCATTTGCAACCTCAGTGACTCCATCTGGCACGCGAGCCTCCAGCGGAGGGAATGGTGGAACGAGCCATGAGCCGTAGTCATGCGTCGCGTGGCCGATGACCAGCCAGGAGGCGGCCGTAGGTGAGACTGTGTCGCTGGTCTGCGTCTCTGCGCTCATGCACTCCTCGCTTATGTTCTGCGTGTGGACGTCGTCTGTGGCATGTGTCACACAACACCGCCTGGGCCGCGCCCAGGCCTGCACCTGGGTGGTGACGTCGACCCGCCCAGCCAGGGTCTGGAACCACCCTGCAGGACGTTGCCACTACCAGCATGGAGTGCAACGCGGAGGACAGCACCACGGGCGTCGATTCGAGCGACATGGCCGATTTCGACATAGCCGGCGGTCTTAACCAGCACTTACCCGCTGGTCCGCCTTTCTGGTTCGTATCGAAGAAGACCAGGAGGAGGAGGAGGAGGAGGAGGAGGAGGAGGAGGAGGAAGAGGGGCCGAGGAGGTCCTGGAAAGAGGAGAACCAGAAGGAGCAGAAGCCTCGTCCTCCTCCTCCTCATCCTCCTCCTCCTCCTCCTCCTCCCCCTCCTCCTCCCCCTCCTCATCCCCGACCTCCTCCTCCTCCTCCTCCTCCTCCTCCTCCTCCTCAGGGGCACGAGGTGTCAGGGGTGGAGCAGATAACCGTCAGGCAGGTGAGCGGCGAGCGCTCTTCGCTCGTCGCCCCCCCCCCCGTGTTCCTCCACCCCTCCTCCCCGACCACGTCGGGAAAGCCCCCCTCTGCCAGTCACATCTCTTTGTGGGGAAACGAAGAGGCTGCCAAGACACGGGGCATCTGGAGGCCGCGCGCTGGATGCACGTGCGGCGCACCTGGCCGCACAGGGGCCGGGCGCCGGAAAGACGTGCCGCCCCACGTGTTTGACCAGCCCTCGCCCAAGCGGGCCACGTAGAGCGTATCCGGCCTCATGGTGTGCTCCTCCCGTGGCGCTGGGACATCAGCAGACCCGACCCAGCGGGCCACGGGCAGCAAGATCCAGTGACGGCCACTGGTCCCCCAGTCTGACGACCCCCAGGTCTGGGACCCGCCCGGTCCGGGGACCCTGGGGCCCAGGAGGGGCCCCTGGGGCCCCCAGGCCTCCTCCGCTGACCCCCCCTTCTCGGGTGACCCCTTATATGCGATGGGTAAAACTTCGTGGGTAAGGATTGCCGTCGCCAACCCCCCGCCAACCCGGGCCAACCCTTCCAAGCAACAAAGCAGGCATGCTAGAGCCGAGCGGGCACGCTCGGACTGAGCTTCCTGGCATCAGCGCTGGCAGCGAGATGGCCATCGCGTGCGAGCGGGCACGCATGGAGCGAGCTTCTTGGCAGAAATGCTGGCCAGGCGATGTGCGCAATGAGCAACCTGACACGCTCGGAAAGAATTGTCACGTGGCCTCGTCTCTATCAGGGAGGCGTGGTGACCGACACTGTGCCAAAAAAATCTGCCCGAATGTGACCAAAAGTGGCGCCTGAAATTTTCAGCCGCGCCCGAGTGTGACCGAAATGTTCGGTTGAAACCGAGACTACTGTATTTACAATTTCGGTCACAATTTCGGTCACACTACGTTTTCGGTCACAACTTCGAGCACGGTTTCGGTCACCCACCTTTTCGGTTGATAGGGGCGGGGTGCCATGAGAATTTCCTGCCGACAACGCTGACCATGCGACGTGGGGTGCCAGCGAACCGGCACGATTGGAGTTTACTTCCAGGCATCAGCGCTGGCAGCGTGATGGTCATCAGGTACGAGCGGGCACGCCTAGAGTGAGCTTTTTGGCAAAAACGTTGGCAGCAATGCTGGTCATACGAGGTGCACCAGAAGCGAGATGGCACGCTTGGAAAGATCTTCCTGCCGACAACGCTGGCCATGCGATGTGCGGTGCCCGCGAACCAGTACGATTGGAGTGCGCATCCTGGCATCAGCGCTGGCAGCGTGATGAGCATTAGGTGCAAGCGGACACGCCTGGAATGAGCTGCTCGGAAAGATCTTTCGCAGAAATGCTGGCCATGCGGAAGGCACCATACGCCAGCCAGCACGATCGGAAAGCACTTCCTGACAACAACGCTGGAGACGCAACGCGCGGCACCTGCGAACCCGCACGTATGGGGCAAGATAACAGCAACAACCAGGACGACGGCCGCACGGAGGTCCACGACGACCCAGAACAAGCCCAAACAGCACGCTCGGAGTGAGCTTCCTACCACCACCGCTGGTATCTGGACGCACGGTGCCTTCGAGCCGGCACCCTTGGCGCGGGCGTCCTGGCAGCAACGCTGGCAGCATGAAGTGCAATAGAAACAAGCAGCCACGTTCACGAAACTCACGGGAGGGGCGCTGGAATGATACGGGAGGGAATGGGCACGGGCCCTGCAGCGGCAGGCTCAACAAAAGAAAAACGTTCACACTGCATTGTGCGTGCTGGAAGCGAACCCGCGCGCTCGGAGAGAGTTTCCCGATGATCTGGCAGAACCGCTGGCGATAGGATGATCGCCAAATTCAATCTGGCACACTTCGAATGAGCTCCTTAGCGGAGTGCGCCGTGCGCGAGCCAGCACGTTCGAACGACCCCCCTATCATCCTTGCCTCCCTCCTCCCTCCTCGTAAGCTCTGTCAGTTGCCTCTTTCCTCCGTGTCTTCCAACTCCGCCTTTTGACCCCCTTCCTCGTCGCCTTCCGTCTCCTCGACCTCGTGTTCCTCCTGCTCCTCATGCTCGTTCTCCACCTCCCACTCCCACTCCTCCTCCGCTTCTCTCCCTCTCCTCCTCGTCTTCCTCCTCCTCCTCCAACTCTTCCTCCTCCTCCTTCTCCTCCTCCTCCTCCTCCTACTCTTCTTCCTCCTCCTCCTACTCTTCCTCCTCCTCCTCCTCCTCCTCCTCATCATCATCATCATCCTCCTCCCCCTCCTCCCCCTCCTCCCCCTCCTCCTCCTCCTCCTCCTGCTCCTGCTCCTCCGCCTCCTCCTCCTCCTCCTCCTCCTCTTCCTCCTCCTCCGTCATCCAAAGGATGAGCAAGAACAGGAAGAGCAACAGCAGCAAGAGAAGCACGATCATAAGGGAGCCTCTGCACAAGCCTCTCCGCCCATCGCTCAGATAGCCCAGGTTGCCGCCAAGGTGGCCCAAAATGAGCCGACGCTGCATCATGTGGTCCGAAGACGGCTCAATGGAGCCCCAGACAGCGTCAAAATGTCCCGAGAGGGGCCCAAGGCGGCCCCCAAAAGCGCCCCGAGAGGCCTCCGAAACCCACGACTGCCCCAGATGCCCCAGGAGTGCCCCAGCAGCTACCCCCCAAGGGACACACCTCCAAGAAAACATATGAGCTTCCGCACGTGATCCGATATATGTTGGCTCCAAGCTCTTCGGCCTAAGATGGTTCCAGAAGGAACTCGGAGAGCCGAGAGAATACCCCAAAAGACCCCAGGAGGACACCAAGATTGCCCTAAGACGGCCCTGGACGGCCCTAAATGGGCCCCAAGACGGCCCAAGAGGGCTTCCAGAGGGGTGGCCCCGAGACGGCCCCGAGCGCCCCAAAGACGACCAAGGGGAACCCAAGACAGCCCAAGGGAGCCCCAAAGACAGCCCAAGAGTGCCCCAAAACGGCCGCAGAGTGCCCCAAGAGATCCCTAAGACTGTCTTAAAGAAGGCCCCAAGAGGGCCACGACGCAGCCCGAAGGCACCCCAAGACGGAGGCCGGCAATGTCAAGAGGTCCGGCAGGGTTGGTCTGGCCAGGGCCGATGTTGGCGTATAGCTGTATTCTTTCAGCTGGCATCCCCAGACTGGAAGCGCCAGGCCAATCCACCGCCGCGCCACGACAGGGAAGACTAAACAAAGCAAGTCAGAGCGAAGGCGGCGGGCGCGATGACGGAGCGGGGGCCTCGAGGATGATGCCCAAGGTCGACGCCGCCTCCAGCGTCGGGGAAACCGAGGCTACCGTGGCCTGTGTCCCTGCTGCGCCCCGTGTCCCCGATCGCCCAGCCTCTTCGGGCGCAGGACGGGGGAGGAGGGGAACGTCGGTGATGCGGCCACCCTTGCCGCCACTGTCTCTTCCCCTTCCTGCATACACTCCGTCGTCGACATCGCTCGAAGAGGCGACTCCTGCCGCCCGCTGTCGTTGGAGTAAGGTCGTCACCTGTGGTCGCGTTTGCTCAAGTCGTCCATCATTGCCTTTCTACTCCTCCTGGTAAAAGGATATGGTTGTCTCCCTGGTTGGTTACACCGCGTCCAATGTTTGTACACCTTGGCAACTTCACTTGAGAGAGAGGGAGATAAGGAGAAACAACACAAACAAAACAAACGAACATCCAACTCGGATGACGGCCGCAAAAGCTGCTACTTTTGGCCCGTCCTTCTGTTAAAAAAAACTTTTCTCCGGTTAGCTGCAGCGTGGACCACGACATTACAGAGCCGCTCAAGCGCGAGTCAATCATGAAAGCTTACCCAACCAACGGGGCCCACGGCACCCGCGTCCAATGCAAAGTGCACACGCTGCCTTAGCAGCCTCAGCGAGGAAGCGAGGCATAGAGAGAGAGAGAAAGACGAGAGAGAAGAGAGAGAGAGAGAGAGAAAAAAAACAAAGAAAGGAAGAAAGAGAGAAGGAGAGATAGAAAAAGACAGAGACAGAGGCAGAGAAAGGGACAGAGACAGAGACAGAGACAGAGGCAGAGAAAGGGACAGAGACAGAGGCAGAGAAAGGGACAGAGACAGAGGCGACGACGACGACGACGACGACGACGGCGACGGCGGCGGCGACGGCGACGGCGGCGGCGGCGGCTGCGACGGCGACGGCGACGGCGACGGTGGCGGTTGCGGCGGCGGCGGCGACGTGACCAGGAAGCGAAGGGGCCCCTTCGCCGACGAGTCTGGTCTCGGCCAGGCGACGTCGGTACTTTCAAGCGTGGGACTCGGCCGGACCCTGCCGTGTCGTGCCCAGGGCACCGCGCGGCGCCACGCGGACTGGCTCCTCCTGTGACGGGGGGGGGCCCTCAGCTGGCCCCCTCGGTGATGACTCCCCCCCCCCCCCGCACAAGGTCTCTCGCTGGGGCCCGCATCCAATGCCACCGCCGCTCCAATGCTGTGTAGGTCGCACGAAGCACCGCTGGCAACGCCGGACAAGGCGCCCCTTGCATTCACGAGACCTCTCGCCCGAGTCCGCATCGCACGCGCGAAAGGATCGCACCGACTGCGAAAGGGCGCGGTGTGCTTTGAAAGGAATGATCTGCCAGAAGGCAGCAAACCGCCTCTCCTTTGCCCTCTCCCCTCGTCGTCGTCGTCGTCGTCGTCGTCGTCGCCGCCTGCTGCTGGCGCGTACACCGCCTCGCTCTCGGAGGTGGGCGCCCCGTACGGGTCGGGTTCCCCGGGTAGGGCGAGGTAGGCTTCCACGTCGCCGAACTCACCGCACCTCCATCCCGTTGTTCTCTCGAGTTTCCGGAGGCTCGCGGAGGCTTCCTGAATCGGAGCGTAGAAAGGTAGAAAGAGTCCTGTCAACCCAGAGGGAGGATGAGGATGAGGAGGAGGAGAAGTATACATTAGTTTAGCTATGAAGACATCGACGCGGCAGGATGATACCAAAAATATCCAGCGGGAGCCCCGCTTTGAAAAGGAGCCGCCTTGCATGCTCATAGAAAATTTCAAAGTTCGCCATGAAACATAAGGCGGGTTCAATCGAGATCCCCGACTGGAGAAGGAACCACCCTCCATCCGTGTAGCTGCAGCAAATCATGAGTTCTCTGACCGAAACGACTAAGAAAATCCCAATCGGAAGGAAATAATACACCCGTGTGACTGTTGGAGACAAGTAAAACGAATGTACGCAGCCCGATAAAACCACCCACCTCAATCCGTGTAACTGCTAGACGCGTTTACGACGACTGTGCGCAATGCTCATGCGAAAACGAAAATTAAGACCATGACCCCCCCTCCAAACGTGTAACTGCAAAACATGAAGCTTCGAGGTCATAAACGGGGAGGATGCCGCAGGGGAAGCGCCCGGCCTGCCCTACCGACGCGTCTGGTGGTCAGACGAGGAGGATTTATCCATAAGCAGAAGGGGTGGTAATGAGGAAGAGGAGAGTGGGGATGGGCCTGCCTGGTAAAGGCAACGCCATTACGGCACCGTCGAAGCAGCCCGCCCTGATCTGGCCGTCATAGACCCTGCAGTCGGCATGTCTCACGTCGACGTTGTGGTCACGGCCGCTGCCGTCGGCGCGGACCCAGCGGCGGGCCAGAGCCGCACCGTCTGGAACGGCGCTGCCACGGTGGGCCCAGGAGGGGCGGAAGCACCGCGCCACCCTGGCCCAGCGCTCACGGCCTTCGCGATGGAGGTCTGGGGCGCGCTGGGCAGGAGGCACAGGCGCTCCTCCAGACCTGCTCGTAAAGGGACGCCGCGGTGCTGGCGACGGCTCGCAGAGGCTTCGCGGCGACACTGCAGCGCGGCAGCGCGGAGACCTTCTGCGCGGCACGCGGGCGGGGCGCTCTGGCGCGGCGCGGCGCGGCTACGCCCCACCGCGCGCGTCTGAGCTATGCGAGCGCTGCTGCGGCCGCGGGGGGCCCCAACTGACGATCCGCGGCGTCGAAGCGTTCCTATTGCTGCTCGAAGGCCTCCTGCACAAGACGGGCTGCAGTGCGGATGGGTGGCCGCGGTTTCGGCCTCCACCTTGGCGAATGCCACCAGCTCCTCCTCGGCCTCTTCCAGGATTTGGCCATTTTGCCCACGACTCGGCTACACGTAAGAGTGACCCTAGGCAAGAGTGACCTCTGGTGCGCGACTTTCGGGTGCCGCGGGAAGGCCGAACCGGAGCGCGCAAGCCGCTGCTATCGCATCTCATCCAGCCATCTGGGGACCCCAGTGTGCCCGCACCAAAGGTGACTCTGGCGAAAGGGCACCTTACGTACAGTCAAAGCGTGAATTCTGGACGGGTGGTAAGGACGCAAGAGCCTTGGAGGCTGAGGTTGGGATTTTCTGGGCGGCGGGCGACCAGTGAAAACGGTTAAAGGGCAGGCCGCAGAGGCAAGGAAACAAGGGCACCCTAGATGAAGGCGCGCGTCCTTACTAGGCGCGTTGACTGTACGGCCGAATGGCGGACTGCAGGACGCCCTCGACGCCCGTCCGGGTCATCTGACGGGGCCGTCGGCAGATGCCTCTTGCCCTCGGGGCCCATCATGGCCAGCGGCGGTGGGAGGCGCTCCTGTAGCGGGTGCAGACGAGGAGGAGGAGGAGGAGGAGGAGAAGGAGGAGGAGGGGAGGAGGAGGAGGAGGAGGAGGAGGACGAGGAGGAGAAAGGGAGAACGAGGAGGGGAGAAGGAGCAGGAGCAGGAGGAAGAAGAGGAGGAGGAGGAGAGATGGGGAAGGGGAGGAGAGTAGGGGGGACGAGGGAAAGAGGGGAGGAGGGGAGGAGAGGAGGAAGGGAGGGGGGGTGAGAAGGGGAGGAGGGGGGGAGGGGAGGAGGGGAGGGGAGGAGCGGAGGGGAGGAGGGGAAGGGGGGAGCGAGTGCAGAGGAGGAGGAGGAGGAGGAAAGAAGGGGAGGAAGGACCAGGGATAAGGGAGGAGTAGGATGAGGGATCCTCTTTCTCCGCCTGCTCCTCTTCCTTTCAGGACCAACGGCCATGGAAATGTGAACTCAGCGAGGGGGAGGAGGAGTGTGGGCGAATGGTTGCAAGCAATAAGGGACTACACAGTCACATCATCAAGGCGCATCATGTGCATAATCTACGCGCCCACCTTAGCTACATACTAGACTGGGTCCGAGGGACCAAAAGCATTGTTTTTTTTGCTGGTTGGAGTGAACGTAAGGTTTAAGGTGAGAGAGAGCGGGTTTCCAAAGGGAACAACATTGGGGCGGCTGGAGCCGCTCTCCCCCAAGGAGGGATGCACCCCCTTGACGGGAGGCCGACCGACCGAGGGGCGATGCATCCCTCTGGCCGGTCCCCCCCCTTGTAACAGAGGGGAAATGCCTCCCTCATGCGCGACCAACCACGGAGGGGAGATGCATCCCTCATGCGCGAAGTGTCGCGCTCGAGGCTTCGTCGCTTCGCTTACCCTCTTGGCCCCCCCCCAGCTTGCTGAATGCAAACCCAGGGCGGGAGGGTGGGAAAAATCAAATCGCAAGGTGAGCGCGGCCACCGCGGCCCGTCGCCCCCCCTTCCTCGCAGCCCCTCGGCGCGGGCAGCGAAGGGGGGGGGCGCCCCCCCCCTCTCTTCGCCCCTGCGCCCCGAGCTGCATGCGCGGGCGACGTTTCCAAGGTGTCCGCGCGCGTACATTATGAAGCACTCACCCATGCCTGCCCGGGCCTAAAGTGCACCCATAATCTACGCGCCCACCTTAGCTACTAGACTGGGTCCGAGGGACCAAAAGCATTGTTTTTTTTGCTGGTTGGAGTGAACGTAAGGTTTAAGGTGAGAGAGAGCGGGTTTCCATAGGGAACAACATTGGGGCGGCTGGAGCCGCTCTCCCCCAAGGAGGGATGCATCCCCTTGACGGGAGGCCGACCGACCGAGGGGCGATGCATCCCTCTGGCCGATCCCCCCAACGCTGCTCACCCCCACGCCCCGCTCGCTCACCCAACGCTGTTCACTTACCGAGCAACACAATGTATAACGGCGCGTCGCAGCCACACGTGGGGGCTACCCGCGGGCGAAGCGCCATGCGCTCTCCAAGCTGCCCGTCCAAATACGACTGTCCACGCCGATTCGCTTTGCTGGAAATCGATGTCGCCTCGCAAACGCGCCACTTCCACGTGGTGATCGAACGGCGGCTCGCCAAGAAATTAGTGAAAGCAATCGACCGATCCAGCGCGGCCGGCACCGCGCAGCCCTTGACGTACGAATGCAGAGAGCTGGTATTGTCTATGAAATACAGCACGCGGCGGTTTGCCAGCCGCTTAGCGTGGCGCTGGTAGATGATGGGCGGCATCGCGCCCTCACACAGCGCGATGGGCTGGCCGCCCTGCCTCAAGCGCTCCTCACAGTAGCCCCACATGCCCAGCAGAGCCCCGTCAAAAACGCAGAAGCCAGCTTGCCGATAGCCGTCGGCGCAATCTAACAACACGTACCCCCCTGTCGGCCACGCGTCATTGTCAGCGCGCGCGTCAGAAGCAATGAGAATCAAAGGCTCGCTTCTCGGCGCGATCTCGGCCACGCGGCTCGGCATGTCTTGCAGAATTATATAAAAGAAATCGAGGGCGCGCACCAGGCAGTTGCTCAGGGTCCAAGGCGGCTGATCTGTGTACTGCCGTTGCCTCAGAGCCCCCATGCCTGCTTTGCCCACGCCGTGCCACGCCGCTCTGGCGATGAAGTTGAGGAGGCCTCTCAACTTGCTGGCGTCTCCGGGCGTGAGCCTGCCCTCGCTGCGCCTCGCCGCAATGAACGTCTTCGCCTTTTCGACGAGAGTGTCGCGCGCCCTGAAAGATATGACATTCGAGTCCAGCGAAGGGCCGAAGGTGTGCACGACGCCCAGAAAATCGCCGGACGGGCTCATCCTCCTCGTCTTCGAGGGAGCCACAGGCGTGCCCAACTCCGCGCAAAGGCACTGTGCGGCCTCCTGACCAGCGCCCCCAGCTGATTCAAAATCAGTAATATTCGCGTCGTCCACATACATGGCAAGCAAAAGCGACAACACGCGGCGCTGCACTGCCTGCAGGAATCCTCCCCATCGCGCGAACTGCATGACTGACGCGGAGAAACCGAAAAGCAACGCCCACGCCACCTGGAACCTCCATTCTCCCGTGACAGGATCGCGGACCGCCACGACGTTCAAGCGCAAGTGATCTGGGTGCACTGGGACTGAGCGATAGGCCGACGGCAAATCTTCGCCCCCCGACACGAGCCTCTCGCGGGCCACGTCGGCACCAGCGTCCGCACACGCTTGCCGGACCACCCTCGCATCGATGACAGGCTGGAATGGCGTACACATTCTTTGCCGCTCACAAAATGCCGTCGCTTCGTTCTGCCTACCCCGACGCCCGTCGTCGATTCTCCTCCTTTTTCCAGAAGGCTGAATATGGCAAAACGCAGGAATCGGCGCCCACTGCCCCGCGCCGAACTCCGCATCAATGTCCGACTTGCTTCGCAGCGGTGCCGCCCAGCCTTTCTTGCACTCTTCCTCGCAGCTATCCCAGAGAAATTGGCCCTCCTCACTCGCGCGCTGGCGATCCAGTTCCGCCAGCAAGACTTTGGACTCTCCAAGCAGCGAGTGCACGGGCATGGGAGCTTCATACTCGGATGGTTCAAAAGCACCCGTATTCTCCATTACGCCAGTGATGCCAAAGCCGGTGACAAAGCGCAACGCCAGCTTTTGGTCTGGCCACCGCGCGAGCACCACCAGCACGGCAATGAGTCCGGCGTGAATATGCCCCGCCACGGCGCGCACAGTCGGACTCTGCCACTTCAAGAGCTCCGCCGTGA